GGATGGATATTCTCCTCTTTCACAGTCATGTCAGCCATCTCATCTAACTTCATCCTTACACATGCTCTACACATTTAAAAAGTCGCTTAACTATCGGAGAAGTAATTGGTTTCTAAACATTAGACCAAGAAGTACACTAAAAGTAAAGGTGATAATTAGATGAGGAATGGGGGGCAGGGCAGGGGGGGAAGCAGTGTGAATAAACCATGGTCCAGGATGGAAGTATAGACTATTCTAGTACGCTACCATTCTCCAATCCAAACCCATATCCTGCCTGTCTTCTCTGTTTTAGATAAAGCTAAAAATCCTTTGCACTTCTTAAGCAAAGGTAAAGAATTCCACATTCAGAGAGCTAGCTTTTATGTTTTACTTTGAAGTCTTTCCAGATTGAGATGATTCAATTCACTGACAAAGATTAACAGATGGCCTGGCTAGCTCTCGTTATCCTTCTCTCAGGATCAGAGGCTTTCTGAAGTTCTTCAGAAGACACCATCTTCTGAACAGCTTTCATAAGCATGAGATATGCACAAACAGCACAGTGTGTCTATTCTTCTCATGTACCAGCTTTCAGAATACTTGCCCTCCCATCCTTCTTCCTCACTCACCAGCTATACCAACTGCTGTACAGTAAAAAAATACCTCTGAAGTGCTTAACCTGTCATTTCCCCAGCGCAGAAGAAACTACCGTAAGTGGGAGGCTCCATGCAAAAGCAGCAGTTTAGACACATATGTCCTTTTTATAGCTCTATATGTGTCTGTCTAGAGCTACTTGCTAGTAGATAAATTTTGGAGCAGATGTATTCTTGTGTGGGTACACTTCAGTACCCGCCCAACAAGAAGACTCACTGAAGCAAGCACATACTTATCCTGGTCATATGCTTCAATTTCCTCATCTTGGAAATCAGAATGTAAAGAAGAAAACATGCACACTGGTTTCCTCCTGACCTATAGTTAGGATGTAGGCAGAACAAATACGTTTCAGATTTCACAATTTAGACGTAGCTATGGACATCCAAGGGTATCAACCTTTTATTTTGGCAACTCAGCATGTCACAATACTGAAATCAAAGGTGACAAAAGAATTTTCAAAGGAACAGTTTTGTCCTGGCTTTTATAACCTGGTTTCATTCAGATGGTGCAAGACTGACGAAGCTTACTCATTTTGTTTAGGAAAAGTGAAGCTAAGGAAAAATATAACATTTTTCTACACTTTTAAAGAATTTATAAGAGTTAATCACTAACTATGGCTGTAGTAATTTAGAGGATAGGGGGGAGGGAGGAGGCAAAACAAGGTATATGAAGTCTCGTCTCCATCAATACCCTTCTCTTACACCTCATTTATGTAACTCTGTAAAAAGAAAGTGCCTTGAAACTGCATATAGGTGCGCTGGATAGAAACATCTGGCTAGGAAAGATTTCTGCTTTTTGTTATAGTTCCAGAATGAACTACCTGTCTTCTCTAACCACCAGGATTAATCACCAACCACCAGATCTTCTGTACAAAGTGCTCTTTACCTTCCCCATTTTTAACACATAGATAAGAATGACAACACAGCTTTTCCCCTTATTCAGAAGGGTAGTACACACTTAAAGATTTATTTCACGCCATAAAGAATTGCCTAACACTTCTTTTCCTGATCACAGTCACATGAGCGATTTCTGTCATGTCTCATTTGTAAGTCAAAGGTATAGTTCATCCTTATGGAAACAATCATTCTTGCTCACAGGAAACAAACAGAAGACATGCCTTCTAAACTCTTTGGCGGTAGTAAGCAACTGATAACTTCATCTCGCACATCTCAAAGCAGCAAGTTCTCTTTGATCAGTATTTCAGAAGCCAACATTTATGACCTTCCGAGCTGTAGTTCTTACTCTCCCCTCATTGTTTTTTTCAGGAAGTAGTTTTCCATTACTTAAATTTAATGGTTTCCACGTATTGTGGGTGCCAGGACAGGTTTCAGAATTTGAGTGCCACTCTAAGTCAGCCACATTTGGGAGCAGGCTATGCTTAGAGGCCAAGACTGCAAGTTAATGGATCACAGTTTGCACAGTTGCTGGGATTTTCCAAACGAACTTCACTTCCTTTCCCAAGTACCACGTGATTATCAACAAGGAAAGTCAAACTCCTCCTGATACGTAACACTATGAAACTAAGCATTGTGCAACAGACATTCATAGCATATTTAATTAATTACTTCTCTTACATAAACTGAGTACAATCACGTTGAAGTTTATACAAACTTTATGGACTCAACAGGTGAATTTAAAGTTGGAGGGAGGAGTTGAGGAAGAGTGTGTGCTAGGTTCAAATTGCACTAGTCTGGCAGTCATCACCTTTATTCATCAGTGAAGACTAAACCCACACGCAAAGTTTGAAGAGGCTGTTACTTTTTTCCTTTCAAGTAATTTAGTTTTGAGACATAAGCATTATTAACCTTACCTACAATATCATCAGCTGATCTGTATGTCACAATTGCCAATTAGCCAATGCTACAATTTATATGATACATTGGCTTCGGTGATAGAGTGGGCTTAAGAAGTTCCTGCCTATCCCATCAAGCCAATTGTTTCCACACCCACAACCCATTTTGTCATCCCTTCAGCTATGCTAGTCCAGATATTTACAGTATAGCCACATCCAAATCACTGGAGTCAGTCAGCTTAAAAACACAAACCAAAAGAGGAAGGAGAGTATTTTTAACCAAAAATAATCACTCAGTAGTCCTGTTTACAGTACAACTCCACAATCAATTACTTAAATGTTAACTGAGAAGTCAGCAATTTGTGGCACCAGAAGGAACTGCGTATTACCCTCAGGAAAGGAAACTGTCTTTGGCAGTACCGCCAGCTTACTGCAGTGTATCTTACAACTTGTCACCTTCATCTTCTAAGCAGTGATTCTAGCTTTATAGTTAGGTTGGTTTATAAGTAGGTCTAGCTTTTATAGGTTTATAGTGCATCCTACGACCACATTTTGCAAGACCATGCACAAAAGCCCAGGTGATCCCTGAATCTATGTTTATGACTGGGATGGAGTTGCTATGAAAAAAATTAACTCCGTCCCATCTAGACCCTGAATACTATGCTACAACAAGGTCCCCGTCCCCTTCCCCTTCCTACTCTCTCCTGCACTCTCTCCAGCTTCCCTGTGCACTGGTTCTGGCATATGCGGCTATATGGTGACTGGGAAACAAAATCCACCTGAAAACTGATCAGATTCCTTTTTTGTTGTTTTGCTTGGCAAGTTTTCAAAGCTGTAGGTTAGTTTCCAAAGATGAGCCTTGAGTACCAGCATCAACACAGAAAAGCAACAGACTTTCAGTGGCAGTATGGTCTTAGATCAACTATGCTGGTCGCAAAATTGCACCCCTGGTGCAATCATGGACAATTATTATTTGTCATACATTTCCATAATATTAATGTAATCTGTAGGCAACATCAAAAGAAAAGAATAATAAGCAATTTAATCCAATCAGAGTTCATAATTAGTTCAGTAAATAAAGAGCAAACCAATACCAACACGCAATACAATAACCAGAGTGAGGAAGGCTAGAGAACAAAGACAGCAGGCAGACATATGTTTTAACAGGCAATCATCCCACTACAGTTTACCTTTCAGTTGAGAATACTCTTTCCAGCAGACTCAGTCCATCAAAGTGAAAAATGTTTTGCAGACAAAGTTTAAGCCTCATCTTTATTTAATTGATTAAGTTGTAAGAAACTAGTTCACTTCTGTAGTTTTCAAATTGTAGACAGAAGACAAACACTTTAAAGGTCTTGGAACATCCTTCACTACTACTTTAAAGAATAAAATGTGTATTTGTTTAGTCACAGTGACTCAATTCCAGCTCTTTCTTTTTATTTCTGAGCATACTAATAGACATGGGTGTTCAACAAGAGGTGCTAAGTTAAGAACGGTAAAGGGCTTGCAGATCAAAGTAGTGTTAAAAGACACTGGGTATCAGAAACAATTAAGAGCCCATGCTCCCAAAAATATAAATGATCTTTTTGTTATAAAAGCCAGGATGAAGAAGACATAGTGGAACCATTCTTGTAATAATTATTAGAAGCAACATATAAAGAAAGGTAAGAAATAACATGGTTTAACATTTCTGAACATTTGTTGTAAGACCTTGAATACCAAATCTGACCTTTCTTGTATTAACTGCTACAAACCCTCAGCACTACAGTAAAGACAATTGGTATTTAGAGCACCTCAGTTCAACAATCAGATTTCTTCTGACCTTTCATAAAAGAGAACAAACTTGAATGTCCATGTAGGCAGTAGGAATGAAAGAACCTGTTATAGTAGCCTCACTGATTCACCATATGAGGAAAACATGCAGGCATCTGGCAACAGCAAGCCACTATTACAGATATGTGTCAATGCAAGGACAGCTAATTAGTGATGATACCCACCTAAGAGTGCCATTTTCTCCTTTGTCTAGGCTGGTGAAGCGACTGTACAAGCGGGTGATTTGACTGTGGGAGACTGAAGAAAAAAAAAAAAAAAGAAAGAAGAAACACAAATTAGCATGTCAATGATTCCTCATAGGAACGGACCTCATTACACTGAACTACTCTGTTGGAAGAAGCTGTGTTCAAAAAAAAAAAAAAAATTACACCAAACAAGTTACATTGGAAGCACATAGCAATCAGCAGTTTAGGAACTTCATGAGCTGTAAATTGCATCTTAATATTCAAGAATCCACAAATAAGCCCATTCTTCAAAAATTTGTCTAACTCTGACTTCTACCCGTTTACAGTTTTGGTCTCTAACATTCTTTGGTTATCTGATTCAGTAAATGGCAATTAAAAAGAAAAAAAATATTTGATTCACAGTTCCACCGTATTTCCCTTAATTCCTTTATGGCTAGAAATAATCTGGACACAGCCTCCACTGATGACCTCTACATCATTCATGATACCACAGACCTCTGCTGTAGTATCTTTCCTTCTCTTTTGCTTATCTCTACTCCTGTTGTCTTTTTCCATCTAAAGATGGAAAGTGTACTCAGTTTCTCTGCATCTGGAAACACCTGATCACTTTTCTTCCCTTACAGGACTGCCTGATTCTAAACAGTTTGTTTTTCCAGTCATTTTCAGGCTTGTAGGACATTGAGTTAAAAATTAAAAAGCCTATTTCTAAAGAAGTTCAGGAGGGAGTTGGGACACAAAGCAAGCAGAAATTTAGTGCAGACTTTTTAAATCTGCAATTTGAAACAAAAATTCCAAAGCCAGTATTAAGTTTAGCATCACAGTGTCAACACTACCAACGTATTAGACAACCCAAGATACTAGACATCTAGATCTTCAGCATAGTCCATGATGGGAGCGGGTTAAATCTATCTAGAATAGCAATTCCTTTAACACTGAAAGAATGCCCTACAGAAGATCTTGGCTTTTCAGAGCCTCTTCAGATGAAGTTAATAAATACATGAAATAAGACTGAATTGATTTTTAATGTTTACTCAGTAAAACTAGGACTTAAATGTCATTTTCAGATTCAATTGTTTTAAAAGCCTTCACCAGCACATGTACAATGCTTTTGTTACTTGTTAAAACTTATTTGGGAACAGGTTGCACAGCAGTTGTCTGATCTGTGACAACCGAGGCAAAGTTTTTTTTCAGGTTTGTTCTTTCTCCAAGCTATTTGTTTAGGTTCAACCGTTCCCGCCTTTAGGATGACCTGCCAGCAACTAGTTCCTCCCCCCCCCCGCCCCACCCTTCTCTCCCTGGCAACTTTCATTCTTTGCATAGGGTTGGGCAATTTGCTCAGTTCCACCTAAGGCAACTTCTCTACAATCAGACTGGGCAGCTTGCTCAATTTCAAGTTAAGCAACACACACATAGAAAGCAGGCACCAGTATTTTAAAGACTTCGAATTTCTGCATTTCTGATTTAGTGTTTTAGATGTGATATACAATAACAACAACCGACGATGAAAAAAGAATAGGCTGGAGTTACATCTCCAGTAAGAAGCCCTGTACTCCCACTGCTCCCTGGAAAGAAAGAGGGGGATGAGAATTCTACTCAGCTACCATTTCCAAACTAATGTCAGCAACTCCATTTTTGGAACACCTCCATTAACAGGTAGTATGTGATAAATACTATGTTGCTATTGACAGGAAAAGAGGTGTTTTTGTTAAGATCATACTAGAGAAAAAGCATATCATAGCTATGTAAGAAAGGAAGATGATTCAGGTCCACCACTGTATTCTTTCATAATTTCCTTTTTGGCTCTCATCCCTCATGAAAGCTGCATCACTAGACACTTTTCAGAGCCTTCTCATGCAAAATAAAGATTTTGACATTCCCTGCTGACCATAGGAGAACCAGTATCAAGATCTGCAATTTATGACTCCTTCTTAAAATCGTGTTTCAGCTAGCTTTAAGCCTTAACCTTTGATTTTATCTATACTGCTATCCCACTAAGGTCCTTCTAAAAATTTAAGTCAAGACCTCTGGAATAGGAGCTGTACCATCTAGTTTACTTCTGTTAAATCATGAGAAAGTTTTTTGCAATTAGACATTCCGAAACTCTTGTCTAAAACATTAGCATAAACTCATATAAATATATGATATTTATATACTTAGAAACTATATAAATATCCATCAGGAAATCCATCACCTGTTACCACTAAAATATTTTTTCTCCTAAGCTCCGATATGAGCATTAGTTTATTATTAATGCTTTGGTAGACTGCTTCAAAGCACGGGAACAAAGGGTGTGAACCAAATAGTTTGAATACTGTTACATTCCAATAGCTTTCCAGAAGCTTGCAACAGAACGCAGATAAGCAACATCTTGGACTTCTCATCTGTTTCTTACAGTTACTGAAATACAAAAGTAATTAGGACTATTTGAAGGCTTTTTCAAACACAAATTTCAAAATGTTTATATGCAAAGCAAACAATTTCCATACAACATCATCTAAGATTTAGGACTGTCAACTTCAGGCTTAGCATCTGTTATTGAGAACCTGATGGAGATTTTCTGTCACTAAGTAGAGGGTTTAGTGGTCAAGTTATTCCCCAGTTCTTGGAAACATTACCTTTGCAGATGTTTCTAAACTTACTATGCTAAGAAGTGTTTTTCACCACAATATAAAAAAATTAATATAGAACTTTAATCCGAACTTAGATTTCATTCAAGAGATTAAGTGTCATTGTATGGCTTTTGAAAGACTGTGCTTCAAGTCCCCTAAAAGATATCTTTTTAATTTGTTCAGCTGAAGAACATGAACTTACGTTAGTATCATTAGCTATTCAGTTTTGTGCTACATAAAATTGAACAAGAGAAAAGTTGTATAATTCCATAGTTGAACTCAATCGAATTGGTTAAGTGTTCTGTTCAGCGCTTCATACTTATCCCAGATGAACTGAAGAAGTCAGGTTTCACAGTAAGGAGGCCAGAAAAAGAATCCTTAAGAGCACCTACCAGAACATAAGTTCAAGATGGACATGTAGTACTGCCAAATTGCTTCATGTCTACGAAGTCCCTTTCTCAAACTCTTTAGTAGGTAAAGTATCATCAGCTTCAAGTTTCTAACAAATCACAGGATACTTCATTCAGTAACACTAACTTAGTATTCTCCCTGTAAACTTTGTTCCAGATAAACCAGCATCCTGTTTTTTTTTTTTCCCCCACCCGGTATCTTGCATAAATATTTGCACCTATATGAAGTGTGTAACAGTGCTAAGAGCTTGGGGGAATTTTCCATCTACCTAGAGAAGTATAAAAGGCAGAGGAAAATCACATTCCTATACTGTCCTTACAGGCTGAGGGTGAAATGGGAAAGGAAAAAAAAAAAAAAAAGATTTCATAAAGTCAACGAGACACAGTGTGATGACTTACAAGCAAGCATGAGTCAGACATTAGCAATGCTTGATTAACAAAGTGACATTGCTTATAAAATTGAATAGAAAAAACACAGGAAAATTAACCAAACTCAGGCCACAAAGCTTAAACAGTAAGTTCTTGCTGCATAAGCAGACTTTGACATTCCTAATTGTTTATCATATCCTTCCTGTAGAAGGTTCCCTTGACAGATGGAAAAAGGATCATGGAAACTATGTTAAGTCACTCAGCTGTCCATTACGCTAGTACTGTCTTAATTTTCTTCCACTCCTTTTCTGTAGCCACTCATTTTACTGACACAAATAAACTATCACCTCAAGTGAATATATGATACCATTTCTATTGGAAAGAAACTGAGGAAAGTATTTTCATGTAGCAAGAACAGACCAGCAAGCATAAGCAGGAGAAAAATGTGATCTGGAAAGACCTTGTTTACCTGAAGGGGGGGCAGGGGGGAACAAACAGCAAAGTGATAGCCATGATGTTATGCCCTCCCCTCTCCAACTATGGAGGGCACCCTCCATTTACTGTCATTCAGTATTTGCTAGAATTCTCAGACAGGCAACCATTCTATCAGCCAAATTAACAACACTGAGTTTTACCTGTTCTAAGGTACTTTATGTTTATAGAGAAGAACTTGATCAAATACTATACGGTAAAGTAGCTATATACTACAGTCCAGCTTGAATAATGCTCTCCCAATTGGTGACTAGTGCAGGAATTTTCACTTTTTTTAGTTAACCATACCCAACTTTCACAAGTTATGTTACCTCCTTTATGCTTTAAATGGCACTCAGCATTCATTCTGAATACCCTTAAGGCAACTTTAAGCAATAGCCTAGGAAACAAATAACATTTGGAAAAAATTTACTATATGAGAGCTTTTTCGGGCTAAAAACAGCTGCTGGACAGAAACTCCAGCACCAGAAACAGAGACAGACAACTCTACAAAATCCAACGAGTTATCTCTGACCGAATGCAATCCTGCAGATACCAAGAGCACTACTTCTCTC